CTGGCAACGCGGGTGCGCTGCAGCGCGTCGTGTGCGTGACAGCTGTGTATGTACGTCCGTGTGCGTGCAGCGCGTACATGTGCGACGCTACCCTTCGTTGTGCGTCCGAGCGCTGTGGCATTTAGAATATTGGCCCTCGCCCATAAAAATTACAACATAGCGTATTTCCGTTCCGGAAGATATAGAGACTACTGTAGAAAATTTTGGCAGCGCAGACTGTGCGCCAGCTGTTAATTAGGTTTTATAATTAAAACACGAACACAAGTCCAATCTATAATTTCAAGCTGCCATATTAAATTCAACATAGCCGCAATTCACATCAGTTACTTTCAAATAATCAATGACATTAGCTAGTATAACAGATATAAAAAACCCATCGAGTGTGTATAAAATAGGTTGTATTGACAATTACGTATTTCTTTTTCACGGTATTCATACAAAATCGACTTATGTCCGCCCAAACGGCATCCCCAGGTAGATTATGTTGAGGAGAAGAGGGCCAGTTTTGTGAGAAGAGAGAGTAACTTTCAAGACAACAATTTGTGTATATACAGTACACAAGAAATGCGTCAATGTGCAAGATATAATTATATTGTTCAAGTTAAAACAAATAATGTCTCTGAGACTGCAGGTCCACAAGTTGTGCGGGCAGGTATTGTGCCATTTCCAGTGCTACGTGAGGGTGCCGCAGGTGCCGGGCCGTGACGATACACTCAAGCGCGGACAGCCAACACCCGTGTACCTGCACAACACAATATGAGTGGTCACTTGTCCGACCATCAAGATCACCTGCAGACCGGTGTATATACGAGAATCAAAGAAATAAATCTCAAGTAATCGCTCTATGTGCACCCAGCCAATCAACACACGGAAACTAGTGAGCTAAGCTAGAAAAAAAGAAAATAAATACAAAAGGCGAAATCGAGAAGAATAGCAAACATCAGAAAAAAGACGACGAATCAAACCCAGAAAAAAACCAAATAACCAAAAACAGAAAAGACCGCTCGGAAAAAAATGCCTATCTAACGCGCAGGCTTGCGACCATTAAATATGAGCTCTCTGTTAAGGAAATATATAGCGCAACACACCCCCCACGAGCGTTGCGCATAAGGCACCTCTACGCCCGCGGACCACCGAGGCCTGCGCGACAAAACGAAAAAAAACCGCCAGAAGAGACCACCGATAATACCGCAGACTATATAAGCTAATCTGAATGATTACATACGGGTGAGCGCGGCCGAATACGACCGTTCTCCGACCAAGTCCAAGACCCGGGCAAGCAAGGGTAGCCTCATAACACCCAACATAGGAAGGTAAACTGTATTAAATGAGTGCGTATTGCGGTCTCTACCAGCCCAAACATTCAGAAATACCGCGGACATCACCAGCCAAACAAATCAAACCAAAAAAATGAAAGACGGCAAACACAACCCACGAGCCCACAACCCCCAAAACACACCACCAGGGCACCACAAGAACCGTATATACACAGCCAAAGCAAAATAAAAAAGCCAGGTACTGTCCTGTGCTCGTAAAGGAGGCGCGTGCGGTTCTTCGCCGTGTGCAATAAGAGCGGAGTGAATGATGACTGTTAATGGACGGTCGAGCGTTCGGTCAGCCAGGGACGTCGACGCAACACGTTATAGGAACTTCTGATTAGTCTAGTAAAGCAGCCGACCACCCATATCCGCCGGCTCGACGGGAATGGCTCTCCGCACAGGGGCAGTATAGCTATCTAGTTTATTGAATGCCGCGGTAGCACGTGTTCCTTCGCGCGCGACAGCGACTTGCTATTATAGCCAAACGAATAACTCTGTTCCATTCTTAGACAGAACAGTAGCTGTCATCATCAGCAGGACGCGTAATAGGTACGCTGTATAATCGTGCCGTTGCGTTCTCGCGGCGGCGACCATAATAGGTACCCCTGTTATGTGTGTGTACTACCCAAACCAAACAACACAACACAAACCGAAGTGGTTCTCGCGGGCGTATTAGCTTCTGTATGTGTGCTTGAGCGTTTCTCGCGGTGGTCATCGCGTATCTGTTATGCGCGTGCGTGTCTCGCGCGCACGTATATAGGTACCCTGTTATGCTGTCAAAGTGCCGTTTCTAACGCAGGAACACAGATATACTATACGCGCTGTGTGCGTCTGTTATGCAGGGTGTGCGCTAGTGCGTGTATCATCGGCAAGGGCAAACGAACCACGTTAAATAACCCACCAGTTACGCATAAAGCGCAAAGAAGTACCTTGTTACCGTGCGTGTGCGCGTACTCTCGACGGGCCAACACGTTATAGGTACATTGTTATGTGCGTGGTTCTCGCAGGCGTTATAGATAGGTACCTGGTTATACGCTCGCTTGCTAGCGTCATCGCTTTCGACACGTAGTATACACCTTTACTGATTATAATGGCAGTCGCGTTTCGCGGATCCGACAGTAATACGGTATCTGTATTGCCCATGCGTGGCCTGCCAGCGCGGTATATAGTATCCTGTAATGTGCATGCGGTGCGTTCTCAGCGGACGTCAATACGGTAAACTTCTATTATGTGTACACCACCTGACACACGAAAACACGAGGCTATCGTCCTAATGTACACGTGTAATCAACCCACTAGCTGCCGTCTTATGTACACGTTGTAATCAATCATCTAGCTGCGTCTTAATGTACACGTGTAATCAACCCACCTAGCTTGATCCCGTCTTAATGTACACGTTGTATCAACCCACCTAGCCTGCGTCACACGCGCTCACGCACACACGTCGCACACACGCGCTCACGCACACACGTCGCGCACACGCGCTCACGCACACACGATAAAAAAATCGTGAGCCCCCTTATAGGTCTTTGCCCCCCCCAATCCAAAACTGCTTCCGGCGCGCCTGTCAGTCAATCAATCACGCACGCACTCACTATAGAAATTTTTGACAATTATATTGAATTTTGGTATTTGTGCACGGCGGCGTGCGTGCGGTGTACTTGTGTGTAGCGAACGAGCATTTGAACGGCATTTGCAGTATTTGACTTGAAAATTGACTGACAGACGTAATTTGGGTTACTATTTCATACTACAACGTGATGCATGTGATCCAAGGACGTTTTCGACCACCATCTTGGATTTAAAATGGCCGCCATAAAAATTACAAACTTAGCAGTATTTCCGTTCACGGAAGATATAGAGACGTGAAAATTTGCAGACTGGCGCAGGTTAATAAGCTCTTTCATATTAAAACACGACACACAAGTTCCAATTATAATTCAAGCTGCCATATTAAATTCAACATAGCCGCCATCACATTGTACTTCAAAATGATCAATGACATAGTATAATAGATATAAACAAATATGGGGAAAATGTTGAATTACCGGTTTTTCTCAGTATATCATAACAAACACAATGCCAAACTGGCAATCCCCAGTGTGAGAGAGAGATAATTCAAGACAACAAGTTGTAGTATACAGTACACAAGAACATGCATGGCAAGATAAATAATACTATTGTTCAAGTTAAACAAAATAATGTCTCGAGACTGCATTGTCCACAAGTTGTCGCAGATTGTCATTCAGTGCGGTAACATGTACCTGCACAAACACAAATATAGTACTTGTATGTACAGTATAGTATCTGTTATGTGCGTGCGTGCGTTCTCGCGGGCGTATTGCTTTCTGTTATGCGCATGCGTTCTCGCGGGCGTATATAGCTATCTGTTATGTGCGTGCGTTCTCGCGGGCGTATATAGGTACCTGTTATGTGCGTGCGTTCTCGCGGGCGTATAGGTACCTGTTATGTGCGTGCGTTCTCGCGGGCGTATAGGTACCTGTTATGTGCGTGCGTTCTCGCGGGCGTATATAGCTTCTGTTATGTGCGTGCGTTCTCGCGGGAGTATCGCTATCTGTTATGCGCGTGCGTATATATATATACTTGCTACGAACTTAACGTAGTTTCGTAGAACATCAGGTGACGTAACGTTGACGTTATTGTGCCATATGGTGTGAAAGTATGAGTGTGAGTGAGTGTAATTGTAATTAATTAACGCATTTAATTCATTAAGATGCCGTCGCGGCAATCTTGATATAATACGGAGGGATGTGTACATACTACGATTATGTACTACATCAATCACGCTCCATTTACCTGTAGTTTGCTACACTGTGTGTCCATTAAATAATGGACCATGATGTGTCGCAAGATTCATATTATATTCGCCGTGCGATATATGATATCGAATAAATGAGTATAGATGGACGCGATACATGAGCGAATGAGTTTTTGGTTATGTACGTACAGATAAAGATCATTGTTTTCGTGATCGAGCACATGCAGGTGTAATAGTATACATAAGTAAATTTACATCAATATTCACAGGCGGGGACATAGGTTCGCGAAAACAAGCACACCTTCTGTCATATATTGATTTATACGTACAAATGGCTACACTTAACTGGGGGTTTCGAGTTATAAAATTATTCTGTTACACTGTAATATTTTAATGAATACCTTTCAAAGAAAGGTTCTGTAACAAAAGCTTCTCATGACCATACATACATGAGGAAAACATTAAATACAATATTAAACATGACTTACATATCTATACATAATTGCAGAAAATTGGCATACCAGTGCTACAGGATTAGAAGGTGCTTGGCAGTGTAGAATATTCATTATTAGCAGAGATTGGCCGACTGACTGAGTGAACGACCGACCAGCCGATCAACAGATGGACCGACAGCAATAAATACTCACTCACTCAATCACTCACTCACTCACTCACTCACTCACTCACTCACTCACTCACTCACTCACTCACTCACTCACTCACTCACTCACTCACTCACTCACTCACTCACTCACTCACTCACTCACTCACTCATACACACACTCAATCAATCAATCAATCACGCAATTACTCACTCACTCACTCACTCACTCGCTCACTCACTCACTCACTCACTCGATCGCTCATTAAATCACTCAATCAGTCAATCAATCACTCAATCACTCACTCACACACTCAATCAGTCAACAGAGGCGCCGGAAGTGTGTGGGGGGGGCGGCCGCCCTCCAATCCAAAAAGTGTGGGGGGGGCAAAACCAAAAAGCCTCCCCCCAAAAAAAGAAGAGTGGGAAAGAACAAATAAAATATATGAGCTAAGACTTGTTAATTCTAACGTTCAAAAACTAATTTATACATCCGCCGCACATACGCCGCACATACGCGCTCACGCACACACGCGCTCACGCACACACGCCGCACATACGCGCTCACGCACACACGCGCTCACGCACACACGTCGCACACACGCGCTCATGCACACACGTCGCACACACGCGCTCACGCACACACTTCACACACACGCGCTCACGCACACACGCGCTCACGCATACACGCCGCACACACGCGCTCACGCACACACGTCGCACCCACGCCCTCACGCACACACGCCGCACACATGCACGCGCCCACGCACACACAACGCGCATCAACGCACACAACATCGCGGGCACCCGGCCGCCGCGCGTTGCCCGCCCGCGTTCACGCACACACGTCGCGCATCACAACGCGCTCAACGCATAACACGTCGCACACGACGCGTTCACGCAGCCAGCACGCGCGCAACACAACCCCGCGGCCCCCGACCGGGAGCGCCGCCTATCGCGCGGGGGGAGCTCGCTGTTGGCGCCGTGCCCCGACCCAGACCTGAACCAGCCTCAAACGGGCACACACGTCACACACATGCGCTCACGCACACACGCGCGCTCACGCACACACGCGCTCACGCACAACACGTCGCACATACGCGTCTCACGCACACACGTCAACACACTGCGCTCCGACGCACACACGCGCTCACGCACCCGTGCACACACGCGCTCACGCACACACGCTCGCACACACGCGCTCACGCACACACGTCGCGCACGACGCGCTCACGCCACACACGATAAAAAAATCGTGAGCCCCTTATAGGTCTTTGCCCCCCCCCAATCCAAAACTGCTTCCGGCGCGCTCTGTCAGTCAATCAATCACGCACGCACTCACTATAGAAATTTTTGACAATTATATTGAATTTTGTTATTTGTGCACGGCGGCGTGCGTGCGGCTGTACTTTGTGTGTAGGCGAACGAGCATTTGAACGGCATTTGCAAGTATTTGACTTGAAAAATTGACTGACAGACGTAATTTGGGTTACTATTTCATACTACAACGTGATGTCATGTGATCCAAGGGGCACGTTTTCGGACGCACCATCTTGGATTTAAAATGGCCGCCCATAAAAATTACAAACTTAGCAGTATTTCCGTTCACGGAAGATATAGAGACGTGAAAATTGTGCAAGACTGGCGCAGGTTAATAAGCTCTTTCATATTAAAACACGACACCACAAGTTCCAATTATAATTCAAGCTGCCATATTAAATCAACAAGCCGCCATCACATTGCTACTTCAAAATGTATCAATGACATAGTATAACAGAATTATAAACAAAATTGGGAAAATGTTGAATTACGGTTTTTCTCAGTATATCATAACACAAAGCACAAGCAACGGGCAATCCCCAGTGTGAGAGAGAGATAATTCAGACAACAAGTTGTAGTATACAGTACACAAGAACATGCATGGCAAGATAAATAATACTATTGTTCAAGTTAAACAAATAATGTCTCGAAGACTGCATTGTCCACAAGTTGTCGCAGATTGTCATTCAGTGCGGTAACATGTACCTGCACAAACACAAATATAGTACTTGTATGTACAGTATAGTATCTGTTATGTGCGTGCGTGCGTTCTCGCGGGCGTATGGTCTGTTATGTGACTGCTTCTCGCGGCGTTTGCTTTCTGTTATGCGCAGCGTTCTCGCGGGCGTATATAGCTATCTGTTATGTGCGTGCGTTCTCGCGGGCGTATAGGTACCTGTCATGTGCGTGGCGTTCTCGCGGGCGTATAGGTACCTGTTATGGCTGCGTGCGTTCTCGCGGGCGTATATAGCTTCTGTTATGTGCGTGCCGTTCTCGCGGGAGATCGCTATCTGTTATGCGCGTGCGTTCTCTCTGCGCGCGTATATAGGTACCTGTTATGCGCGTGCGTTCTCGCGGGCGTATAGGTTATCTGTTACGTGCGTGCGTTCTCGGCGGGCGTATAGGTACCTGTATGTGCGTGCGTTCTCGCGCGGCGTATATAGCTTCTGTTATGTGCGTGCGTTCTCGCGGGCGTATCGCTATCTGTATGCGCGTGCGTTCTCGCGCGCGTATATAAGGTACCTGTTATGCGCGTGCGTTCTCGCGGCGTATAGTACCTGTTATGCGCGTGCGTTCTCGCGGGCGTATAGGTACCTGTTACGTGCGTGCGTTCTCGCGGGCGTATATAGGTACCTGTTATGTGCGTGCGTTCTCGCAGGCGTATATAGGTACCTGTTATGTGCGTGGCGTGCTTTCGCGCGTATATAGCTTCTGTTATATGCGTGCGTTCTCAGCGGGCGTATAGGTATTCTGTTATGTGCGTGCGTGCTCGCGCGCGTATATAGCTATCTGTAATGTGCATGCGTGCGTTCTCGCGGACGTATAGGTATCTGTTATGTGCGTGGCGTGCTCGCGCGCGTATATAGTATCTGTTATGTGCGTGCGTGCGTTCTCGCGGGCGTATAGGTACCTGTTATGTGCGTGCGTTCTCGCGGGCGTATCGCTATCTGTTATGCGCATGCGTTCTCGCGGCATATATAGCTATCTGTTATGTGCGTGCGTTCTCGCGGCGTATAGCTACCTGTTATGTGCGTCGTCTGCGGTATATAGCTATCTGGTGTGCCGTCGTGCGCGGTATATAGGCTATACTGTTTGTGGTGCTGCGTGCTCGCGCGCGTATATATAGCTATCTGTTATGTGCGTGCGTGCTCGCGGGCGTATATAGCGTCTGTTATGTGCGTGCGTTCTCGCGGCGTATAGGTATCTGTTATGTGCGTGCGTACTCGCGCCGCGTATATAACTATCTGTTATGTGCGTGCGTACGTTCTCACGGGCGTATCGCTATCTGTTATGCGCGTGCGTTCTCGCGCGCATATATATAGGTACCTTTTTATGTGCGTGCGTGTCGCGCGCGTATAGGTACCTGTTATGTGCGTGCGTGCTCGCGCGCGTATATAGCTAACTTTATGTGCGTGCGTGCGGTCTCGCGGGAGTATAGCTATCTGTTATGTGCGCGTGCGTGCGTGCTCGCGCCGCGTTGAGTTTTGAACTGCTTGTGTACACGTCGCGTTTACTGTGAAGAACGGCGCGTTGGAAAATGCCGTGTTTAGAACTCCACGATAAAATGCGTGTTTTTCCAACATTTCCAACGCGTGTTGGATACGGCACGTGTCGACTTGGCCGGCTGGGTATTGACCTGCGCCAGTCTGCAAATTTTCACGTCTCTATATCATCCGTGAACGGAAATATTGCTAAGTTTGTAATTTTTATGGTGGCCATTTTGAATACAAGATGGTGGCCGAAAACGCCTTTGGATCACACGAATCACGTTGTTGTATGAAATAGTAACCAAATTTAGCGTCTGTCAGTCAATTTTCAAGTCAAATACTGCAAATGCCGTTTAAATGCTCGTTCGCTACACACAAGTACACCGCACGCACGCCGCCGTGCACAAATACCAAAATTCAATATAATTGTCACAAATTTCTATAGTGAGTGCGTCGCGTGATTGATTGACTGACAGGCGCGCCGGAAGCAGTTTTGGATTGGGGGGGGGCAAAGACTGTACGAAGATTATTAACCTAGATATAGCTATTTTTTAAGAAATGACGGCGGCCATTTTGAATTCAAGATGGCGGCCGAAGTTGTAGTTGAATCACAGACTAACAGATATCCGATGTATCCGTTAGTCTGTGGTTGGATCGCGTGTGTCCTGTCTTTAAATGAAAGAGCATACAAAAGTATGCAAGTGTACCAATGTTCATACTTTTTTTCACATTCTGAACGATTTTTATCTAATCTACTGTACTACAATAAATTATCAGTAATAATAGGCGCAAGAGAGTAAAGAAACATTAAGGCTTTGGTACTAAATATATTTCGTGTTCATTTACCATCATTTTTTTTATGAAACGTTCCAAGTGCCTGTGGAGGTGCTACAAATGTCTTTAAAATTCTACATAAATTGGAAGTGCCCACGCACAACGGGGTCCGCGGGCGACACAGTTTTAGAGCTGAGGCTGCCAGACTCTGAAACAGACTACCAGAAAACTTGAGGTCATGTGGAAATTTTCATGATTTCAGAAAAATGCTAGGTTCGTGGGAGGGGGATAAGTGCAAATGTGCAACGTGTAAATGATTTTATTGAATTCTATGTATATTTCGTGCTAAATGTTTATCTGCTGAACGTTTTATATCTTATCTGTTTTCTAATTCTATATTTGTTGGTCGGCGGAAAAGTCATGGCTTATGTTCTCTGTACAACACTACCGACGTTAAATAAAGTTTACTTTACTTTACTTTACAAAGCGTATAAATATTACGGTACAACAACACGATCCCGATTCACGACGAGCGGTGGCGCTACTATCGAAACTCGTGTAGGTAATGAAGTGATTGGATGGGTACTACGCGTCGCTACAACAACCTTTTATATGCAGCTCTAGTGACCTTTGGAGTCCATCTACACAGTACACGACAGACTACTAAAAATGTCCTCGGCAACGAGAACCAGTGCTTATCTCAAAAATATATTACAGAATGGAGTAGGTAGATATGTTTGTCAGTTACAGAGAGTAACGTTTCAATTCTGCAAAAGTAGAGGAGATAGCAAGGGCATCAGGTATCTAGAACTTAGTAGTACAGTCTTTATATAATAATCATATTATTATTATATTTTGGTTTAAAATTAGTTGATTACAAATTTGAAGCTTTGCGACCCGCACTGCCACAACAGGCACTTGGAACGTCTCAATAAAAAAATTAATGGTAAATAAACACGAAATGTACCAAAGTCTTAATGTTTCTCTACTCTATTTCGCATATAATCAGTTGTAAATGCCAGTCAAATGCTCATCTGCAACACACAAGTACACCGCACGCCTGCCCTGTGCTGCATGCACAAACAACATGAATAAGAGAGCAGGTAGGAAAGCGCGATCGCTAAATTCGCTTGACGCTCGCTTCATTTCACACAATCACAGAACGAAAACACGTCACGCTCCCATCTTGGTAACTATGTGTACATAAATGTTCACTTGTTCGAATTATAACTCTGTCCTTTGTGCTTACCTACTCCCACCAGAGATATCTCGTGAAATCCTGCAGGAAATGTTCTCTCCGTGAAAATGTAAAGAGGACGTATCATCCGAAAATCCCTAACGGCGCTACTTTCGATCGATCGCTGTAGTCGTGTGTGCGTGACGTCATGCCTTCGCGCGTTGTGCTTAGCTTGGCGGGCCTCGAAACGGAGCTCGAAGGCCGGCAGCAGCTCATCCCGGCATGCAATGCGCCCCATTACTCGTGTATAAACAGACATCTCGTCCTCTTTACATTTTCACGGAGAGAACATTTCCTGCAGGATTTCAGGAGATATCTCTGGCAGGAGTAGGTAAGGACAAAGGGCAGAGTTATAATTCGAACAAGTGAACATTTATGTAAACATAGATACCAAGATGGGAGCTGTTGGATGTATATTCGTGCTGTGACGGTGTGAAATGAAGCGAGCGTCGAGCGAATTTAGCGATCCCGCTTTCCTACCTGCTCTCTTATTCATGTTGTTTGTGCACGCAGCACAGGGCGGGCGTGCGGTGTACTTATGTGTTGCAGATGAGCATTTGACCGGCATTTACAGGTGATTATATGCGAAATAGAGTAGAGAAACATTAAGACTTTGGTACATTTCGTGTTTATTTACCATTAATTTTTTTTATTAAGACGTTCCAAGTGCCTGTGCGCACTGCCGCAGTGTTAGTAAGTACAGACTAGTCTTTATATAATAATCATATATATTTTGGTTTAAAATTAGACAATTACAAATTTGAAGCTTTGCGACCCGCACTGCCGCAGTGTTGTATGTTGATCTGTCTATTTCAGTATTTGATGAACTTTCAATTTGTCTCTCTCCTTCTTCGATATACTACTACTAGGCCTAGTCCCTTAAACTTTGAAGACTAGGTAATCTTTATCTTTATGGGGTTATACTAGTTCATTCTGATGTTTTCTGGATTTTATTAATTATTACAGCTGCAAGTTAAAACTTCTCGCTTCCCACTGGCACTACGCTGGCAAGCGTAGGACCCCTATATATTCTTATTAATATTACATTGATTTAGTATAGTATATTAGGGCCATTGTGGATCAAGGATAGTTTGGGACCCCGCAAGTGTGTTTTTACATATGTGCTAAACTAACCAGAAATCCACAAAGGCCATCTTCAGAAAAAACTCATTGACTTACCCTATCCGCTATCGCATCGATCATCTGAGCGTGATCATTGTTTTCGGCATGTGCCATCTTTTAAGGATCCTTTTAAGTTTAGCTTCTTTGTTTCTGTCATTCCGTATTGGAATTCTCTTCTTTCATCTTTGGTCAATTGCAACAAATTTGCAACTTTTTACACTGCAATCCGCAGTGTTGATCTATCGATTTGATCCACTTCTCTCGCCGTCTTCGTTATAGTCCCTAGGACTTTTGAAGACTAATATTTATGAGGTTATCGCAATGATGTGTGGCTAGAGCTACATTTCAGTGACTCCAACAGGTTAGGTTAGTTAATTATGTGTGTCACAACACATAACCTGTAAAATACACAACCTGTAATAAAACCTTGTTAATAAACTTTATGGCAGTTAGCAGGCCTAAAGTAGTAAATAAATTCCTGATCATAAGAAGTTATGTTACCTTCCTCGTTTTGCAATTGTTTAAAGGTACGTTGCCCAAAAAGCCCATGTTGTTTCCCCGGTGTGTTTTGGTGCTTACATATATGTATTGTAATTACAGAGACTTTATAGAAACACATCTTGTAGATTTTGCAAAGCAAAACGCAGGTGTAGCAGTATACGTGCAACCAAGGCGTCACCGAAGACCTTATGTTATTGCAGAATATTGTAAGTTTAACTAAAGTAACTTTAAATACATCTAGGTAGCCGGCTACAATGATACTCAAGCCTCACTGCTGTATCTATCTTTGTCATTCCTATTGATACTAACACGTGAATAGATTTGTGTAGCAATCAAATAATTTGCTTCATTGATGTATCCAGTTAATGTTGTGCTTACTGTCACATTAATAACCTAACTAGTAAGACTAAGCTTGTGATGAATCATGTTTGTATTATTGGAATTTTATTCAGTTTTATGAAGCTTCCAAATTTCATTGTTTTCAGTGAATGGCGCTAAAGTAGACTTTTGTGTGCACGAGCAGAATGCAGATGAGGTGAGTCGATGGTTGGAGCATCTTCGAACCCGCTGCGGAGTGCAAATACAGAGGCTACGTAAACAGCACCACACAGATCACCCAAGCATTCAGGGACAGTGGACTCCTTTTGTGAACCTTCCGACGGAATTAAACACAACGCAGTTCCCGAGTGAGAATCTGTCACGTGCCATACAACGGCAGCCGACTGCAACACAGAAGATATTGGACATGGCAGCGAAACAGCAGGCTGCATCCGGTGATCAGGGTTCTGAGAACAAACCAGTGTGAGGCACGGAAAACATCCATGAGAGCTTCACCTTGCCACGTGCAATGATAGAAATAAATAGGATAGTAAAACATTACACGTTCTTCTTGGCTAAGCCACATTGAAGCCCAATTAGTCTATCTAAGGCTCCAAGCCGTACAATTGATGAATGCTAGCTTAACTGACACCTTGTGACTTGTGTCGTTTATAAGTATACAACCTTATGGCCAAATTCATATTAGGTTGTCCAATATCACTGCTATTTACTAATAAAATGCTCAATTGAAATTTTTTATGCATTTATTAGTTGTTTACCATTCGTAATTAAAACAGGTTTCCAAACGGGGAATTTTTGCACGCATGCCGAGTTCATACACATCTTTGCCTCTCCTACCTAATAGTGCTATCACGTGATCAGTGTTTTATTGTGTAACATAAACTGTGGGATGAGGCTGTGTTACAATAGTGATAATTGAATGATCATTAAATTCGACATAAGTAGGTGTTTGTAGTGTACATGCATATGTCTATAATCTCAACTAAAATAAAAATACTTAGGATATTTTATAATAAAACTACTTTCTGTCTAAGTTATTATAACCATTATAATTCTTTATCGTTTTAATCATAAACTTTCAACTGGGAAGTTTACTGTTCACCAACATTTATTACAATATTCAGCTGATTGCTCGAGTCAAAAAAAGAACAATAATTGTAGGCATGTAAGTACTGTCATAACATTGGACATAATTATAGGATTTTGTCACTTATGAGTTCCTTTTCATGATGATAACTCGAGTCATTTTTATTTTATTTTCGCAAACAGGTTCAAACGATATTTACAAAACCTCGGGGATCATACTCGTATAACAGCTACTTGTCACAATGCAAAATTCACGTTGCTATCACCTTCCACAGATGTCAGCGTCAGTTCTACTTTGTTCCTCATGTATTCCGAATGAAACCCTGATCCTGATCTCTTACTGCGTACCTTCTGGAAGAGTATGGATAAATACGTCCTCAATTGTATTACAGCACTTCCCTTACCGATACACCTTTAACTCTATCCAATCCGATCAAGCGTCATTCATTTAAAAGGAATTTATATATTATCAATGCAGGGAATTACAGGTAGTAGAATGCTTGTGATCATAAACTTGGGGGCATTGTCGGAAACATCTTGTAACAGTCTTACTTATAATTGTTTCTGCGTTATAATAGCACTGATTATTATGCAGAGCCACATCATTTCTGACAATGGCTCCAAGAGTCCTAACTAACTTTTATTCTATCTAGAAAAGCTGCTACCTGACGAGAGTAGTCTGTGCAAATGAAAGTACCTTCGACTTTGACGAAACTGGTCTTCGTGGTCCTGGCAGTGGTATGGATGGAGAAAAATTCATTTCATCTGGGTTAAACTCTTCAAACAATTCCATATATGTCCTGAAAATCAAATGTAGTTTTTAAAAGTATTTCAGTGATTCATACATATACAGTCACCACGAGCCACATGAACAGGCAGGTTTTTCCTGATTACACAAACTCACTAAGGACCAAAAATGTGTATAAGCACATCACGTCACAAATTAATTAGAAATTTTAATAATAACTATATTTTCACTTCATTTTACTTGCGTTAATAAGCTCAAAAACCAAAAACCTTTATAGGTGAGCTAATATTTTTTATGCTTACTTGCGAGAAAGCTCCATTGGTAGTTGAGCAGGTCCTTGCAATGGGGCACCTTGACAGATGTGATGACTGAGCTTACGTACAGCAGGATGATGGTGTCGCTGAGAAAGAACATCACAAAGTTGCTTTGCTCTGCAACAGTGCAGTGGACTACCTCCCCCTCCCATCTATTTCCATATCAATCTGCACTAGTAACGTGAGAAAATTCTCACACAGAGCATTGAGACTAAGTCTCCATATAGCCGAGTGAGTTTGGAATCTTAAATAGGCTAGCGTTTTCTAGTCGCACCGAGAAAAAGACAATTTATAATATTAAAAATTGTGGACAAAGAGGAACTCCTGTGTCACTTTAGACATCCGACATATACGAGAACCAGAACATTGATCGATGGTATTTACTACATGGCGTGTATGCATGCCATCACGTTACAGGTAGGTGAGAAAGTTACGTCACCGATGCACTAAGATGGTGCGAAAATGGCCATGTCATTACGTTACTGGTAGCCATGGAAGTCATGTAACACATACACTAAGATTATGTGAAAATGATTATGCCATTACGGTACTGATAGCCATAGAAGACACGTACACTAAGATGATGCAGCTCCCAAAGTGCAGAGTTGTGCGCATTGCAGTATTCGGGCTCTGGCAGATCAGGGAGGTAGATACCACTGCCCTGGTTGTCGCTGTCCAGAAGAACGTCACTCTTTGGAAACAGCTGCAGACAAGTTGTTGCATGAATATGTGCTGACACAATACACAGTCAACCCTGAGTTAGCGGTCAACTGTATAAAATGGATACTCGTATAAAAAAGGGACACTTTTGGAGTTAACTTTGAGTGACCACTGTATACAGGTTTGATTGTATATCGCATAATATTGTCTCTGACTGCATATAAGGGTTATCAGTTCTGTAACTTGCATTTGCTGTTTTTGCATTAGTATTTGTGCAAGGGTAAAGAAATTCCAATGAAAATCAATGCAACAGAATACTCTTGCCATGGAGAAGTTACAGATAGATTAAATTGGAAAATTGTCATACCATTGCATGCTATATTTACATTAAACTATTATCACGTAACTTTGTAATTTCGTAACTATATCATGTAACCTTGTAATCATGTAATTTTGCCACTGAAACTAGTCAACATTACAAAGAAATGATTTCACTGCTCATGTGTTCTACGATCTATGTATAGTCTGTACCTGCAGTAAGGCACGAACAATGATCAGGACAGCTATAGTACTGTTGTGCTCCAACTGTAGACTTAGGATACACAGCCTCTTGATAAATGCAACAACCCTGTGGAACGACACCTGTAAAATAACACCAGCATGATAAAGGTGTATAACCATACAAAGTGTACAATATCACACAAGCTAGGTTACGAGGACTATTAGTTCATAAAGATATACGGTTCCACACGTACACATTAACTTGATCATTCAACTAGTAGTACAACTCAATCTAATAGTATCTTCTAATTTTATTCTTGTTAAAACCAAGAATTATATGAAGGAAAATACAGCATTCTCCCAGAGGTAGTTTATTATGCCTCTACAAAAACTCAATATTTATAAGAAGAAGAGATAGAGAAGAGCGACAATACTAATATAGTGCTCATTTACGAAAATAACTATATATAATATAGCAAGTGGAAATTCAGAAGAATGAGTGCACATAAAAATGAGAATGACAGTGCGAGCATGAGAAATAGGTACGTTACCTGTTTTCTACGTTTAATTATCATCATCTCCATGCACTTTAGAGCAAGAGGTGCATCATTACTTGTTGTACCTGAAATATTTTCCATCGTAAATTATAACCATAATTATAACCATTATATTCGGTTATATTCTTTCTACTCCTTGACTACAAGCTTTACTAAACACATCTCCGCCAATATATATATATAACGCATCTCTTTAAAATCCTAAATGCACATATCATAAACAGGGCTCGCTCTGGACGTTTTACAGTTAAGTTTGAGCCAAGAGTTGAGCCACCAAAATTATTTTTGAGCCACCAGTGTAGTAAAATCGCCCCTGTCATTTATTTATCCCATTTTGCGAAGGTGGCGAACGCCAGAGGTAGCCCTGATAAATACGAAACATCCAGTTTAAGCACTGTGGCAGATTGTAAACATTTTGCAAATCGATCTAGTCGTAACACATTGTAATAAAGCCCAGCAACAATAGTAAACAAGTACATGCTAAATCAAGCACCATCGTCATATAACTCCTCAAGCATACAGTACCTGCACGCAGCTTGAACAGAATGTTGTAGATGTCAGTGTAGAAGCGAAGTGGATCGATGTTCAGGGATTCACCCTGACCCGACAAAATGTTGAAAACAGTCTGAATGCAGTGAAGCATCTGCCTGTGGTTCAAGTCCTAGTGATAGAACAAAGATAACACGTCACATTCGGTGCATGATATATTCTGGTCATGTCGACATTGTCATGCAACTTTCTTGGGCAAATTTGCAAAAAGCAATCATCTAACCAGATAAATGGGAGTGCATCTAGATCAGACTACCACCCAAATGGTAACTCTGACAAATCGGAGTCAAGCAGAGTTAGCTCGCACCTGCGATTGACTGAGGAGATCATTATGACAATACAATACAATGCTACAGCTATTCATGTAATCGGAGTCAAGCAGAGTTAGCTCGCACCTGCGATTGACTGAGGAGATCATTATGACAATACAATACAATGCTACAGCTATTCATGTCTACTACGTACACTAGCTCAAATAACTACTATAATCCCAACACGTATCCTCCCTTTCCTTTCTGTCGTCTCGCAAATAATTCAGGTGAGCATTCAGATGGAATGGATGTTGCTGTTGAACTATACCTATTATTTTTCATACAAATCATATACAGTCCATTTTACCGTTAAGCACAAATGTTAAAGTTATCTATTTATTTGACTGTATTACTGCACTATATTGTTACTGTTTATAATAAACTCACCCCAGATTCGACAAGCTGATGTAATACCGAGATGAGATCATCAAAGAACTCTACGTTTATCAAATGTGCATACCTGTAAAAAAGGGGTTCAGGTAGTTCCAACGTGCAGGTGTGTGTGCATGCATGCGTTCGTGCCTGTGTGTGAGTGCGTTAAGGCATATTTTTAAATAGTAGGTATAGTATGCCTTCAACTTGACTTCTTTTATTACTGATTTTTGTGTCTGCAGAAGCAATTAAATGTACTATAGATGATTACTATGCATCACATGTCCCAGAGGTGCAAATGTACAATGGGCAGGCAGTGGTATAGAGCCACCCCACAATCACTATGTTATTTAATGACCTCCACAGTGGTTAACTCATCGGACAAGTCTCAAGAATACATCTTGTCCGTTAAAAGATGTACATTGGCAATTGTAGTCCACTGCATTGCCCTGGAAGTTGCTATGCGTTAATGACACCCCTACATCTCAGGTTTCTCATGTTTAACAAGGCGAGCACCTACATGGAACTAGTGATGTGGAAAAACACAAGAGGTCAGTACTGCTTGTTAGGAAGCACAAAAGAAAAAAGAAACTAGAGAAACAGGGGTAGATAGAAAGAGAGTGGTACTGAGCAAAAAAGAAACATTCAGATTGATATAAAAGAGTTACGTGTCTTGAACCAAGTTGTATCAATTGGAAATAAGCACTTACTTGGATAAGCCTTCCAAAACAGATGACAATAAAATTGATTTTCTTGCTTTCTTCAAAATTCGGAAGTATATCAGAAATACAGCTTTGATTGTTCCCGTTTGCTGTCAAATAGAAAATGATACCTTTGAGCAATTTTTAAACTTGTATTGTTAAGCAACAATTTGCATTGCACCATGGTAGGAGGATACGCAGAAAATGATCTGCTCGTAATTCACATGCATGCAAAATGATGCATATGATAACAATTACACATATCAAAATAACAGTAAGAAACCTGAAAAATGCACAAGCTCTGTCAGTAAATATTAACGCACAATGTATGTCAACTCACAAATTTCGTCTTTTTGGCTTTACTCTCTTCAGCCTCAGCTTCCAGTAGCTCTTTGTTAAGAGTCTCCATCTGTTTATTACGCTGCAAAAGAGATGTGCACATTGTCTCAGTATTAAGTAGTTACACTGTAGCCATCAGACTTGTCTCGTTTTGTTTTTGTTTTTTTATTCACATTTGCTAATACCTATATCAAGCCATCACTAGCCTGCTCACTTATCAGATATTGGTCAATATAAAAGATATAAGCTTTCAATTTGATGAAAGTATAGATTAATCAAATCCTTGAAATCATGAAGGTAATTGAATAAAAGCACATTTATTTTACAGTAAGGTTATGTACTTATACATGAGACACATTATTAATGTCGTAAGCAATTCGTAATTGTCGTCAGTTAAGGAATATATCTATAAAATATGTGCTAATGAGGCCTGAGGGGAGTATTATTATTAATAAATTCCGATAAACAGAGCTAACAGCTAATGCGAATATCGGTTCAATTAATTATGTATTACCAACATTTAGTACCCACAGAAACGAACCTGCTATGATTGCTAACACCTGGAATTACAAAACCAAACCTGATAAACGTTGGCTGGTAAATGTGAACCAGGCAGCAACTAACAATCACCTTTCTTTCTCTTTTTGACATTTTGAGCATTTTCTCCTTCTTTGTCATGAGTTTCTCCTTCTTTGTCTGTGCCTCTGCCTGTGCACTTAAGTTGACATTCTTGATGTTTAACGACAAGAATGCATCCAGTACCTAATGATAAATGATAAATCTCTTAAAAAAACACAATTCACAAACACAAAAAGAACAGAAATTGAAACATTTTTTACAAGCACATTCCTCTTTGCAGCATTTATATGCAGCAGAAGTTACAGAAGAGATTTTTAGATTAAAACCTTGTCACACTCAGACAAAAATTGCTCATTTATGTTGATATACTATAGTTAGCACATTAGATCATCGCAACACTATTTCATGCAAACTGCATATACATGATTAGGACACCTTTGCTGGAAGAATGTAGCTTCTAGTCTTAATCAGCTTTCCAATCGCTTGAGTTGCCTCCATCGAAGCCTCACCAAGTTTATCCTCCTTGAATAGCTTCTTAACCGCATTGCATACTTCATCGGATATCTGCAAGATAGAAAATTTCAAGATTCACACAGAATTTCTATAACCACATTATCCTCAGCTATCATTTCTAGCTAATTTTTCTGGACTATTTTATTTATTTTTATTAACTATTTTATTTATTCTATTACCTTTTTATCATGAAGAATTTTAGTTGCAGTTGAATATTTAACCTGCACTGTATATAGGATATGTTAGATGTTATACAGCTGCACAAAAGAGTTTGCCTAAACCAACTGGCCCAACAGTTTGGAATGAAGCAGTTGTATGATACTTTTATGCCCCGATATGCTATTTTACCTCACGAGACTTGTGGGCCATGAAAGGTATGAGCACAGTGATGATGTTGAGTCTATAGTTGAAGTGAGGTAGTGCAGTTAGCAAGCTACACAGGCACTTCACTGCAATGACAGCCAATCCATGTCGAGTTGTCTTCGGGAGTTGCTCCTTTAGGTTTTTGCTATCTTTACTTGACTTCTGAATACCTACAGAAATTTTACTGTTGTATATGTGCAACTAAGAAATATTCCACAATTTCCACTGAAAAGAGTCATTATAATAAGCCCACGCGAACAAAGATATAAAAAATAAAAATACAAAGGAGTATAGCACCAGTGTAGCATGCTTAATAATTTTTACACTTAATCTATTAATAAATAATTTGCAAGCCATATAACATCATTCATAAGCAATAACAATTCACCCTGTTAGCAAACTTTTAGTTTAGAAAAAAAATACTGACAAACAGCAATGTATACCATTTCATACTTCACCTTTTCATACTATCTATAGCACTGTTACAAAGTAATAGCCCCAAGTTGTATAATTAAATAGCATAGCTTGTATTTCAAAATTACCTTTTGTCATACGTTCTAGTTCCTCCAAGTACAGTTTGTAATTTTTTCCTAGTGACTGTTCAAACTCTCTGAGCACCTTTGTCTCTTTCTTCAACTATAATGTATATAAGGCAAACGAAAGCAAGTTGATTATTTACAAAACAAATATGGATTAAATATGCTAAATCTTACTTACACATTCACATCTCTTAAAATCGTTACCCCTAATCTCAATACTAAAATAATTTACTTCCAACAGAACACTGAAATATACGAACCACCTACTTCGTACGGTCCCCTACCAAATGACTATAATCACTTATCGGTCTCTACTCTGTGATTCTAACTCCTACTACCTTCTCAGAATCCTCCCCATCGTCGGCGTCATGAGTGGAGAGCCGAATCCTGTAACCTGGGGTAATGTCCTTGAACACCTCCAGCAAGGACATCATCGCCCACTTCTTCACCGTGACCATGATATTCGGATCCTGCTCATACAGCGTCATTCTCAGCTGCTTCAACTTGCCAACCTATAACCAGTGCACACAATCATGCATAGAGAATTATTGCTATAAGTGCACTTCTTCGAGAGCTATAAAAGTCGTCTTACTGCTTCACAGGCTCTACTCTGTGCTGTTGTTATACTCTCTCTCTCTCTCTCTGTCTCTCTCTCTACATATATATATATATATATCATGTGGATTTTAAATAATCAAATTAATTCAGCATAAGCTCTGCCAAAGAGTGTCAATATTTTAAGCTAACGTTGCACTATCCTAGAATGTTAAAAACCTATACTGACACTAATGCAAAACATGCTTGTAAAACAAATGCAAATGCTATGGCGGACAATCATAGAATTCTCTTACATTTTCTTCTGGGTCTTCAATGATCGAACTAGCGAGATTTCCTATCGACAGTTTCTTCGCTGCAAGCTTTCTTTGCCGGTCTGCATACAGCTGCACGGTGCTCAGAACTGGCAGCTTCACAGGTTTCACTATAGGCTTCTCTTGCTCCTCTGCTGGCACTGGATCTGTATAAACAGCAATAGCCCAAAAATAATAAACCCAAACCAAAACGAATGAACTGAAAAACTGATGCTGAAGAACTCAGGCGGTTTGGTTTGCTCTCGATCATGTTCTAATATCATTTGTCTGTTGACCTAATATATGAAAAATCTATTTAGAAAACGTTTTAGAAATGCAAGACAGGAACGTAGATAGTGAAAATAACAAGAATATTCTGAAGGTCATGTCGATTGTATAAGAGCACAAATAAATTAGAGAGTGACATCAATAAACTGGAAGGTAGTTATAGCAACATAATGCTTATTATATGAATGAATTATTATCTTAGTATATATACCTGGCTCTTGCTGAATATCCACTGACTGGTGTATGATACCATGCTTTCTACTCTTAATTGGCAGAAGATGCTTCACTTGTGCATGTGGCTCCATCCCCGCAAACTGTCTTGGAGCATCCTCAATATCATTCCATTTCCTTTTCTTCCTGTTTATGAGTTAGATGAACCGCTGCATACCACAAAGTCACAAAGGACTCCAACCATTACGTGATTACCTTCTTTAAAAATAATTATGTAACTGGAGTATTATGTACTGGTATAAATATAAGAAATGCATATGTATATACATATTCACACATGCATATACATACGTGTGTGTGTGCGTGCGTGCTTGTGTCAGAAGCAATGTGAACTTATAGACAGAATCAGATAAGATCAGATAAGATGAGCCAAAGCAATAATAGCATTGCAAGTGGTGCAATCTACTGATAACTCACCTAGTTTCCAATGACTGCAATAGGAAACTCCAGTCACCCTCTTCAGTTCTGACATCAGCTTGCTCCTCTCTGTCGAGATCCTCATCAGATTCATTTGGGCTCTGTCCATTGGGTATGTGATTAGTTGGCAACTTCAGATCATTAATTCCTTCGCTGGATAGGAAAAGGTTGCACTGGTTAGATTACATTATTACTACACAAATAAATAATTATTAGATAAGTATATATGCAAAATATTACCTTGTTTGATAAGACACTATATGGAATTATTAAAACAAGCACTTTGATTACAATCGGCATACCTGACTTTTTGGCCTTTTGTAACATTCGAGGATTTCTGTTTCTTGTTTAGCTTCTTGAGTTTTCCTTGCTTTTGTAACTTTGTAACTCTCTTATTGACTTTCTTTACTATGCTGACCTTGGACTTCTTGCCAGACTTGACACTTTTGGCTTTTTTCTAAAAGAAATAATGGTAATGTAGTGCGCTGCACTTGTAAGAACGTTTGCCACATATTGCTACATTATGTAAATTGTGAATTTCACTATATAGCCACTGTTATATAAGTACCTAGGGTTTAACCAAACTTAACTATGATGTGTTACATTAGCCGCATTCACACAGAGCGACAAATTCGGTATTTAGTATTCACACGAGGCTAAATTGCGCGGTCCAACAAATACGGAATCTAAATAGATTCCTTATTTGTTGAAATACGCGGCTTCCCAGATGCCGAATTACTTCTCGTGCTTGAGAAATTCCGAATCTCTAGGACCGCTTATTTCTCTCGTCTGAACGCAACTGAATGCAAATACGGCATTTCTGAAGCCGCGTATTTTATAGACTGGTCCGCGCTCGACAGTTCCACTCGCGTCACACTGAACTGTCGAGCGCTGACCAGTCTACGTATTCTGTCGTCGTCGTTGCTATGCAGTGATTGTTTAATTCGCATTGTTCGTTTGATTTTTTCCAACTCACAGGTCGCAGCTCACAAGTAATTAAATACGGCATTTCTGAAGCCGCGAAACAGCGTGTGAACGCTCAGGTGGAGTAAGTCGCAAATTTGTCTCAGATTCGGTATCTCGCAAATACCGAATTTAATAAATAAGGAGTTTCGTCTAAACGTAGCTCTAGAACTATAGCCCTCCGCTCCGCGGCTGGGAGCTAGTCTGAACGCAGCTATTGACAGTATTGTCAAACGGGAACAGCAACTGTGTATCAATTTAAAAGACCTGTTCATAACCTATGGGTGAACACAAGACAAATTTTCCGTGGCAGGTACGTATATGAGTATAGACTCGCAGCTAGGGCCTGCATACCACCCAACTCCCATTGGTTGATAAAAATCTAGGCCCTAGTTAATTTTTTTAATTAAATTTTAATTTGGGTTAGGGTTAGGGTAGGCGGGTTAGGGTTAGGGTCACAATGCACCATAAAAGTTTGGCCTAAAAGTTTTATTAAAACAGGAGTTTCAGGCACGTGATTTGTATCAACCAATGGCAATGGGATTTGGGAGGTATGTAGGCCCTAGGGCCTAGCAGTAGCCAGTAGCAATAGCAGTAGCAGGCTAGCTGCGAGTCGCCTAGACCGAATAATTCTGTCCCATATAACCTTTTTTATATTTTGGTGAGGATTATTGGGACAGAACGGGGTTCATTGAAATTTTGTGAGATCGCATGCAAAATGCATGCGCTGCGAATGCGGCCCGTACGCCGCTATTGGCGCGGAAAAAAACCTACCGTTCTACTATTG